CCGCTACAGTGTTTCCAAGCTAACTTTTCCTTTAAATCTTTGTGTTCAAATAAACACATAGTTTCCTGATTGGACACTGACTAATATATTCAGTACCATATACGCCATTAGTAAATAAAGAAGAAAAAAAACCCTTTAATCTTTCAATTTAAGTATGTTATTTCTTTACAGGACTACAAAGTAATTAGTATATAAATACTTACTAAGGTGGCCACAGATTTCCAACTGCCTAGAACTGGTCTGCTTGGATGGCTGCTGAGGGTCATTGTACCTAGGAACATCTACCCCTGCAGAGCCCATTTGGATCCCTTTTTGAACATCTTGCTTTTCTTCCTACATAATATTCATTTCTTTTTCTCCATTCAGGCAACAGTGGCTACAAGTCAGATGGTCATCATTCCTGTTAGCTGCCCTCTCACCTTCTTCATTTCTTTTTTTTTTTTGGTTTTTCGAGACAGGGTTTCTCTGTGTAGCTTTGAGCCTTTCCTGGAGCTCACTTGGTAGCCCAGGCTGGCCTCGAACTCACAGAGATCCACCTGGCTCTGCCTCCCGAGTGCTGGGATTAAAGGTGTGCGCCACCAACGCCCGGTCATCCTCCTTCATTTCTAATCCAAGTGCCAGTCAAAAATGGTCCCTGGCCCTTTCTCCTCTACTCCTGCCCCACCAGTCAAATCATCAGCTCTAGCTGCCGTGCCTATAATTGTTAAAGTTGGTTGCTCCCAGCAGTGTGGGCTGAAAACCCAGATGCACTAGTCCCTGTCGACCACCGTCCCACCTCCCTCCAAGTGACACAGATAAGCTGGGCTGCAGGTGAGACACCATTCCCAAGGTCCCAGCCAGTGTCCTCATCTCCGCCCCAATGAAAACAATAGCAACGCAAGAAAGCATGAAGTGTTTCTGGGACACATTCGTGAGCATGTACCCACAAGCTCACAGACACGCATGGGTTAAAAAAGTAATCATTCAGAAACTTTTAAAACTTGTTTCCATTAACTGGAAATTACTTACAAGAGCCCTTATGGTGAATCATGATACCCTGTGCAGTAACACTGTGGGCAGCTGATGCCAGCCTGATATTTTTTTCTACATCTACATCCTCTTTTTGCCCCTCTCAAAGCCACATTGAGCCCCCCCCCCCTTTTCTATGAAGCCTACTGAGGTCCGTGGTGAACTTTTCCATGCAGCTTCTGCTGTTGAGAAGCTTGATATCAGATGTCTTCTGAGGCAGATAACTAAGTCATGTCATTTCCAATGCAGGGTTATCTCTTATGTCCGCTTGCCTGTTTTTCTGTAGACCTATAACACATTGTTGGGCACTTTGAAGAGACAATGTAACCAATAAAATAATCTTTGAAACGCTTCATTATACTGACTTATGACAACGTGTAAAAATAAACTTCCTTTCCTCCATCCATAAAGCATATTACAAGGGACTATGAAAACACAGACCTGCTATCCTCAAAGAAAGAAAAGTTTAAAGGAGCATTTGCATCGCACTGGAGACCAAGGCTGGTAATCCGCAACTATTCACAAGTCCAACAAGTTCCCAAAAATTCCGTCAGAAAAGGAGCCAAGAAGAAAGCAATTCTGCCAGCTGCAAGCCTTCTGTTTTACAGCATGCACGGAGTGGACATCTCACTCTATCATCCTTATAAACCGAGTGTGGGAGTACAATGCAACCTTCCGAGAAGATGTTCAGCGGACTCTGGACTGCCACAGATGGGCTGCACTTACCCGTACAGAGGCAGCCTAACCAGCTACCTTGCCAACCCACCACTATGGCCATCCAGATCCTTAATAAGACAGAGTGGGCAGCATTCCACTTGAGCTGATGGAATTTCCAGGGTCAGGAAGATATGGGCAGCTGCTGGCACTTTACAGGGCAGCAAGTTCGCCATCCTCAGATCGAAAACCGTTTCCTTAAGAACTAACATCCACCCTACGCCACCTGCATACATACACTAATAAATCCCAGATGGGAGTTCCAGACACCTCTCTGCTCAAGCCATGAATTTCTTCCAGGCGACAACATTCTATTAAACTGGTCTCCCAGCAGCGAGCTGCCTTTGCAAAGACTGCCTTCATTTACAATACACTCTGCTTTATGGAGCTAATTTGGGATCCAGCATGGCACGATGTGTAATTAATTTTGACATTTTTTTTAATGGATGAAAAAAAAATCTGTGAATGTAAAAAGGCAGCATATTAAGAGAGCCAATTCTGTGGAAGTAGAAACTGTGACTAGTGGTCACTAGAGGCAGAAGGAGAAGGGGAGGGAGTGGGTGATGGATACAAAAGGTTTGGATGGGGAGACTAAGCTCTAGTATTCTACAGCACAGATGAATGACCATCATTTGCAGAATTAGCCATTTGTTGTATGAAGAATGAGAAGAGAAGAGTCCGAAGTTTCCCATCACATAGAAATGATAAAGGTTTAGAGCGAGTGGGAATAATAGTTATCTTAGTTTTATCATTATACAATTTAAAAGTGATGTGATGTGAAATCATCACTCTGTCACCTATAAGTCTCCACAAATATCATGTTAATTAAATATTAAGAAGGATAATCATTTAAAAGGAAGCACTTTGTTTGTCTAAGCATCTTGTTATTTAGGCCAAATGGGGGGGGGGAGTGTTCCCGCTTGACCATAGTCCCAAATTCTGAATTAGCAATCCAGACAATTTATGTATTTACATTAAATCATGTCATATTTCAGCAATTTACACACGATGTATCAGCTACCCTAATGTATTGCAGGCTATGTGTCACACGAGACACACCATAGGACACGTCTCTGAGCATGATGGCGCATTCCACACTATGGAGTACTTCTGCACTGATCCTCCCTCATAGCAATCCTTAAAGGAGAAATCTCGAGTGTTGCTTTCAACACTCACTTCTCATGAGTTCACAGACCCTCAAAGGCATCAAGTGGCTGGCCCACAGCCACTAGCTAGGGCTGAGACTACAATGGGAGTCTTCTGACCTTATTCTGTGCTTCCTCTCTACACCATGGTGTCTGAGCAGGAACCAATACTGCAAGGTTAACCTGTCGTGCAACTCAGAAGAGGGATACAGACCAGTAAGAAGCATGGAGAGTAGATCCCATGTGGAGTCTTTGAGACTGGCTGCCTCGGGGAAAGGGGACCAGACATTAATAGAAAAGAGGAAGCCACTGACGGAACAGGTGTGGCCAGAGGAAGCAGGCTCCACCTCACACATCTAAAGGTGCTAAGGTCTGGGTAGGAACGCATGTAGGCAGAGCTTCAGTCTCCTCTCTGACTCACTGCCCGTATAAACCGAGCTCCTGGGAAGCTCACTGTCGTTTGTGAAATCACACAGACTAGCCACTCTCTATTTGCTAAAATCTATAGGGCATATCTTAAAAAATTATTATTTTATTTTACGAGTATAGTGTTTTGCCTTCATGTATGGCTATGTACCATGTGTGTGCCGTGCCAGGGGAGGCCAGAAGACTGTGGCAGATCCCCTGGTACTGGAGTTACAGCTGGTTGTGAGCCACCACATGGGTGCTGGAAATCAAACCTAGGTTCATTTGGAAGAGCAGCCAATGCTCTTAACTGCCCAGCCATCTCTCCAGATCCCAGGAGAGATGCTTTCTTGATGAAGTGGGCTGTAGTTAATCATACACTTATACAACACAGATGTGGCCCACCAGTCACTCCCAAACCCTAATAATGCCGTCCTCTGTCATTGTTTTTACACATAGGCAATAATTTGGGCCCAATGTCAAGAAACAAAAAGATCAGAATTCAAAGTGAGTGATCAGGATTGTGCTTTACTTGTAACCGTTCTTTCAGATAGCCTGTACCAATACATGATATAGAATGAACTGTTTTAGAGGGACGGTGAGGAACACTGAGCTCTCAAGATCCATAAGGTAAAACTGTATATAGTTAAAATTTTCCTCCAACATTCCTTAAACAGCCCAGAAAACTCAGCACTGGCTATATGATCTTGTACATGCACATGCTGTAAGAGCCCTGACTCTGTTCTACTCTCCAGCTGTCAATCAGATATTCAAGTTCTTCTTCCGTAACATGGTTCAGTTTAGTGCAACCAACTTGCTTGGTCTCCCAGATAATGCAATCTCCACTCTGCTTCTGTTCTGAACCTCCAAGTGCATCCAGCTCTCGTCAGCAGCCACTTCCGCTTTCTCACAAGCAGTTCAGAACTGCTTGCTCTTGACTGGGGGGTGAATGCCAGTGGCCAGGATGGCCTGACAACTCTCTTGTCCAATCAGGGCCAGGTGCCATTTTCTTTTCTTTTTTTATTGACAGCCTCTATCTTCTCCTCTACAGCTTCAACTGTATATCAAAGGGACCTAGGGAGACTAAATGGTGTTAAGGAAACCAGGGGCTCACAGCCTGCTCTAAAGAAAGCGGGGTGATCTCAGGTACCATCTTCATTGGCCTTTCTCCGTTCTGGAAATTTGTGTGGAGCCCCCCTCACTTACAGGAAAATGGTACCAGCCGCAACAGCTATGGTGTCTGTCCTTGAAGAGACAGTTAGGGGGTGGACAGAGGGAGGGGCTAGAGGAGGACTCTTAGGGACACTAATTAAAACACAGTATGATGAGTTCAGGAACAAAAAGGCATGAGGTGCCATGAAAGTTCAGAGGTGAACCTAAATCATATCAGGAGGGACCGGGGGCGGGGGGGGGGGGTGTCATCACAGAGTCATAACAGAAGCCTGGCCGAATGACGCACTGACACAAAGAAGGTGGCGTGGTCTGGGTAGTAATAGCAGTACATGCAAAAACACACATGCTCAGGAATGACCGGTGGGGAAGAAAAGCTGACAAGACCAATGGCTACGCTGGTGAGGAAGCCACTGGTAGCTCCTTTGACAAAGAATTTT